GGGGAGGCTGACTGGAGAAACTGAGATTCACAGGGATAAAAAAGGAATAGAGAAAATGTAAAGACACCCAGAGTGAGAACGTCTATCAAAAACACATGATAAGATAGGTCTTTTAATTTTTAGGTAACTAAATTCCTGGTGGAAAAGAAGAACAAACTCTTTACAGACAGAAAAAGAGAATCTCGAAAATAAAAGGGGAGAGAGAATGACAAAGCAAAAGCATGTGATATCAAAGAAAGGCATACTGTGGACCAGCAGAGCACAGAGGATGTTCCCAGGCTTTCTGCTGCTGGAGCAGAGAGATGAACAATCAGTCATGGGTCAGTCGGTCTGTCTGTTCACATCTGCCCGTCACTCCTGCAGCGCTCAGCGTTACCAGAGCACCACTGCACACTGAGCTCACCCAAACTTACCTTGAGAGGTCTGAATCATATGATCAGATTCACTGCTCTGATTACCCTGCACATCCCCGCTCAAAGAGTCTACTGAGAGTCTGAACTAACTGCTTGCTGGTCTGCGTATAAGCTACGCACATATGCATTATTTAACTGATGGTTAACTCTGAGTCAATCAAGTCTATTTGTGCACGGCTTCAGACCATATTCTAAGCTAAAGCTCTCCTGTCCTATAAACAGTAGCTTAGAGGAGGGGGGGGGGGGTAGGTTCACGGCAGCTTTTTCACCACAGACTGCCTATCACAACAAAAACGCAGCTTTGGCACTGCAATGGGAAAAGAAGAAGTTGTAATAGGAAACAATGATCAGAGAGCGTTTTCAGAATGTCCAACTCTCCTTCTCTGCCATCACGGAGTCTTTCTGCTCCTCCATCTCTAGCCTGACTGCACATAAGGTTATAAAAATGGGAAGGTGACACCAAAGCATAGCGTCAGTGCTATTTATCAGCATGACAGCAACGATCACAACAATGATCACAATGATGTCAGTGTTGGGTTTAGGTTGTTTATTTTTGAGGTAAAAAATTCACATACCCAAGGAGTGAAGTTATGTGCTAATGCTAAGGTTGATTAGCAAGCTACATCCAAAAACTGTACAAGTGCAGTGCACAGGCACACATCTGATGATTAGTGCTAACAAACCGACAAACAAAATACTAGAAATCAGGCAAAAATGTCTCGGAACACACAGCAAGCCGTATTATTATTCAGATTGTACCAATGAAATGCTTCAAAAGGCATCAGCAGCACAAACATAGTGGTGAGGACCAGTACAGGGACTTCAGTTAGCAGAGGTACAGCTGCCTGCGTCGGGACACCAGTCAATCAAAGCAGTCCCTACAGGTATCCCCACACAGTAAAAACACATTTTACCAGTCTGTTTTTACCTTACAACATAAAGCACCTTGAGGCAACCCTTGTGGTAACTTACACTGAGCTGAACTGAATTTTAACATGGGAGTCTGCTGTTTTCTTTCAGCCACAGGGTTTGTTTTTACACATGAAACACATGAAATTTCGAAAGAATCAGGTTGGAATATTTTCAACAAATTTATCAGACAGCAGGAAACAGTCTGATTCAACACACTCCTAACTGGAATAATAGTTTTGGAGTAGGAGCTGCAACATGTCTGCAAGTCCCAAAAAGTTTTAGGCTGCAGTACAAGTCTGAAAACTACTCATCTTTGTGATGATCCGTCAGTGCACCTCTTCTTCTGCGTTCTGACCCGAGTTGCCCTTCTGTTAAAAATCTTCATTTGTGTAGTTTGTCTAATCTTTTGCTGAGATCACAACTGAACTTAAGCTCAATTAAAACACTGAAAGACCGTGGCGAAGCTTGGCTGCAGGCTCACATCTCTTCATGTTCCATAAACATCATTTTACTCTGGATTAGGATATCTGAAATTAAAGCTGACAGTGGAGTGTGTGTATGAGGCTTTTATTTCTTTGTGTTTTTGTTTTGTTTTTTGAAAAAAAGAGTTCTGAAGGTGATGACAGCTTCACTCGGAGAAGAGTAGTGTTGGTTATTTGTGAAGCAGAGTGTTATCAAAAAAGAAGGCTACATGCTCAGTCGACTTCCTTCACCAAAATTTTAGTTTTTAACAGCAGATCACGAGTGTGCCAAATCAGCACCACAACGTCACAAAACAAGGTTGTTAAATTAAAGTAGAGATGCCTGTCGCGTGTGATGACACTTGGTATGTACGTCTGTGCAGTGCCAGTGTAGTGTAAACCACATGGGCACGTGCACAGGGTGACGCTGACGCACAACAGAGGCAGATTTCAGAACCAGTTATTAGGAGAAACACGAGACAAAATAATTTGACCAATAAACACACCGGTGTGCATACACTGAGTGTGCTCATTTAACAACTACCTGCAATGAATAAAACACTTTGGTGGACACTCTCCCTAACATGGTTGTGAAGGAAAAAGGTGTCCCACCCATTATGAGCAAGTTATGACTAATAAATTTTCTTCTAAGCGGATGCACGCAAGCAAGTCCACACTGGGTAAAAATTAAAGGATGGCTACCTGCCAAAGTAAGGCTGGCAAAGCAAATGATATTTAAACCAAAAATATTAGCGTTTGGTTAGTAGCTACTAAAAAGTCTTTCTATGATCCCTACTAAAGCACCAGTCAGATGTGACGGATCAATAGTAGATATACTGCTTACAGCCAATCAGCCACAACTTCTGATATTCTGGGTCCTGAGAAAAAAAATCTCTCTCATCTCTGACAGCATATAGAAAGGTGACCTGAGTTGCTGAAGTGATAAAGGTTACTTTAGTGACCACCTGTCATGGGTGAGTTTCAGCCTGAAGACTCCAGACTTTGCCCAAAGGTTCAATCCATAACCTATCGGATGAGTGCTGCAAAATGAGATATGAAAACAGAAATACACTTTCAGGAAGTGAGAAACTTTCCCTCATTTGATGCGACATATTGCCAGTGTTGTACGGATCTGCCTTACATAATGACTACTTCATCATGAATATATAAATATCCTAACACATCTTTAATCAGGGACCAAATGTGACGCTTAAAGGTCAGTTTTATAGTATATAAAACGTACCATATCACCCTTATATATCCTGATAGTATATCGACTTGTGGAGACCACATTTTTTCGATTTCATTCCACACTCATGTTAGGAGGAGATGAAAAGCGACCAAGGTGAATTTCTCTTCGTGATATCCTTTTATTATTTTGTCCTCGCCTTCCTGTCGTCGCCCTCTTCCTTTTCTAGTGAATCACATTTTCAGGAGGGGACCGCGGGTATATATATTTATATAAAGAAAAATCTTTATGGCTGAAGGTGTTTGAAAGTAAATAACCTGGCGTCTTGCTGGCTAGTTGCCGCTTTAACAGTGGGTGAAGAAGAAGGAGGGGAAAAACCCCCCCAAAAAAACCAGCCCTTCAGATTGACACAATGGCATGCGCTCCGACAGAGGGAGAGGGCACAGAGGCAGGGAGGGAGGCGAAAAGGAGGAAAACGACAACAACAAACAGAGGAGAGATATCCGCCATATCAGGATCCAAATGGGATGGGGAAGGTGAGCGCAAATCCCACCGCCCCAGTTTCCTTTCTAAAAACCCCTTCTTCTATCCTCCCCTGTGTTGCCTTTTTAGGATTTCGGGGGCTAAATCCACCAAGTTAGACGCTGATATATCAGAAAGAGCATGAGAGCTGCTTCTAAATTACTACAGCAAATACTGTACCTACACTCTCACAACATTCACAGACATCAAAATTTTACACTTCTTGGAACCATTTCCCCCCCCAGCAGCATTCTTGGGTGAGGAATGGGATGGTTTAGTATCACAAATAGGATGCTATTCTCCAATTTCAGTTAGGGACTCGACGGAGCCAAGGCCCCTCTTTTGGCTCAGCACACTGTCTCATGTCTTAACAAGGCTTTACCCCCAGCCAAATCTTAAATAAAAACCTTCCGAATCCGGCTCTGTACGCCAAACCAGATTGCTTTTTTTTGCGCTTTTTTTCGCGGGTGTGTAAGCATTTGTGTGTGTCTGTCGTGGATTTGTGAACTGTGTCAGTGCTCATGTTGTGTTACCTCATGTTTTTTTTTTGCCATTTCTTTGCCTCTCCCTCTCTCCTCCCTTTAACTCACCCCCGTCTTTCCTTATACAGCATATCAATGAAGGCCAGATATGTACTAGGGGAAGGAGGGTGTATGTGTGTAGCCGTGCATGGCTGAGCGCACTGTTCAATAGTGTGGATGCTGGCTGGCTGGCTGGGGCCGCGGCTGGCAAACGGCTGCAGCGGAGACTTCGGCTGGGGCTCCGCTATCGCACCCAGTTATCGTTTCCCCCATGAAGGGCTCCCTTATCACCCCAGCCCAGAGAGGTCTCCCTTCTTCTCCCATCCCCGAGACACACTCCCCCACCTCCTCCCTCCCCACCCACCCTTCTCCACCTCCTCCTCATCCCTCACCCCCCACCCATCCCCTCCTTTCATATACACCCAGCGCTCCGTCGTGCAACATTCAACCAAGAGGGAGGGTGACGAAGGAGGGGGGCTTCAAAGATTCTCTCTCACACAAACACACACACCCTGGGCGTACATGGATGTGTGTTTGCGTGTGTACGCTCAATTTGCCAAAACAGTTTTTCCAGTGTAATTGGGCTTGGGGTACCTGTGTCCATGAGATAGCGCAGCCTCTTCTCCACGCGAGCTGCTCGGGCGTCTATGTGCCTCTGCTCGCTCTCCAGTGCAGACAGCTCCCCAACCACATACTGACTGGTGTCTTTGAACGCCTTCTGTCAACCGAGAGAGAGACAGAGACAGAGACAGAGAGAGAATAGTTAGAGGAAGGAAATATAGCTATATTAGACAAAGAGCTTTAATCCACATTTGTGAGTTCTACATCTACAAACCCACTTTATAGCCTTTTATTAACCACATTCCACTGTATTATTTTATTTTAACACTAAACACTTTGAAGTTTTCTTCAGTAAACATTAGTTATGTATATTAGGTGTGCTAATCATAAAATAAGCCAACTTATTCTACTTTGATAATAAAGCACATTGAAAAAACTCAGAATAAGGCCACAAGATTTCTTTCTCTAAACTTATTGCTTATCAGTTTATTTATGTGTGGTCCATTAAATATCCTGTTTTGG